GCAAACTTACAAAGAATGTGGCAACAACTTACACAATCTCACAACAAGGGACAGGAAGCGACTGTTGCCCCAAAGTTTACAAGAGAAAACTATGGGTGCGACACTGGTAAAATAGATTAAAGAACTAATCACCGGCTAAAGTATGACCTTGTACAGATATCCTGATTAAAAAATAATGTGAAAAAGCTTGAATTCTGGAATAAACAACCAAGTTGTAAAAAAACAAAACAAATAGCACTGACAATGTCAAAAATAGTGGCCGACTGTGTACTGATCACGCGACAATGCTTTGCACATACCAGCAACATGCCTTTGCCAGGGAAGGAGGCCAATTCACACCTACTACAATTACAGTTTCCAGTCCTGGAATAGAGGGACTGTGTTTCTATGAAATGTGCTTGATTCTGTCTGTTTCATGTTAGTGTCAAATTTCCAAATTGTCCCTTATCGCTTAATTCCATCAGTCGTCATACAGCACGTATTCAAATTTCATGTAAACAAATAATTTTACATAAATTGCTTGCATCGCTATAGATTTCACATCAAAAACAATATGGTGTGACGACTGTAGCATGTTCATTTCTTCTTAATTTCATTGAAAACATATTTTGGTAAAAGAACGCTAGCAAAGGGATTAGTTTTGTTCCGATCATTAGCTCTATAGAATATCGCAGTGTCTTAGTAACCAAATATATAAATTATTTTCTTTTAAATTTTGTGTTCTCCATTATCTTTTTAGGTCTAGGATGTACTACAGTCTTGTCACCGGAGGGCGCTGGCCTAGCAGCAGCTCAGATATTATCGCTGAACGATCACATGATATGGGCACGGCTACATTGTAAACAACTGAATACTTGGATTGGATTGATAAAGGCTGATAAAAATGTTCGAAATGATAAATAAATAGCAAATAGATTTGCATTAATTTACACTGCCATTCTGTCTCAACTCATAGTTAAAGTTTAAGAAATACAGTTTATTTTTCAACTTGTGTATTATTTTTGTTTCATATATATGGCTATGAGAACTGCTCTACACACAAATAAACTCAATGAGCTTGTTTGCCAACGTTGTCATGGGAATCTCTTAGCTTCATTATACATTTTCTTTCTGTCAATCGATTTCAAAAGTGACCATGAAAATGATAAATGTAACATGTGTTCAAAAGGCCACTTCATCAACACACGTATTAAATCAATGGCATGCATGGTGTACCACTATTCAAAGTTAGACCAAGTGTTCATCTAATATTCAGTGTATTGAATGTTCTTGAGCAGCATATCATATTTTCATTATTCGTGATCAGCGTATTCATGAGCATATCATATTTTCATTATTCGTAATCAGCGTATTCATGAGCATATTATATATTCGTGTTATCAAATATCCATGAGAAGTATATCTTGTGTGCATCAATATCAAATAGGAAAAGCATTTGGTATTTTGTTGAATTATTGATTAGTATCATATCAAATACGACTTAGTCATGGCTGTATATCATGAATTATTGATTAGTATCATATCAAATGTGACTTAGTCATGGCTGTATATCATGAATTATTGATGAGCATAGCAAATCATGTATTCACTATCAATGTTGCAGATAGCCTTTCTAGTTGTCATTTCATCTTTCTGAGTTAATTAGTACTAGTATAATTGGCAGTAGTAATAAAGGCTTGCTTCAATGTCTGGCTGATTGTCATTTCATCTTTCTGAGTTAATTAGTACTAGTATAATTGGCAGTAGTAATAAAGGCTTGCTTCAATGTCTGGCTGATTGTCATTTCATCTTTCTGAGTTAATTAGTACTAGTATAATTGGCAGTAGTAATAAAGGCTTGCTTCAATGTCTGGCTGATTGTCATTTCATCTTTCTGAGTTAATTAGTACTAGTATAATTGGCAGTAGTAATAAAGGCTTGCTTCAATGTCTGGCTGGTTGTCATTTCATCTTTCTGAGTTGATTAGTACTAGTATAATTGGCAGTAGTAATAAAGGCTTGCTTCAATGTCTGGCTGATTGTCATTTCATACTGCATTAAGTGATAGTTTAAGAAACAATTTACATAGAAGACAATCTTTGTTTATCTCTTTATCTGGAAGTAAGCTCATTGACCATGGTGAATTCCACTGTGTTTGCCAATCATTAAATTGATAACAATTAAGTTATAGCCATGTGTCAATATTCAGTTTGCACACTGCTCTGTAAATTCAGAGCTTTGAACAAAACTTTAGGATTGAGTAATCTTGTTGACATGGTCTGTACCAATACAACTAAATAGATCAGATACACACTTACAACACACAATCGCTATAACCACCTGTCATAATAATCCCACTAAAAAGCTTGAAATAGTTTCACCCTTTAATAATACCACCTAAGAATTTTGTGATGTACATCTGTAACCTGATAACCACTTGCCATTTGTGGGAAAGTGCAATATCAACTGCAGAATAAAAACATTGTTGTCACTTTACCAACAGCATTGACAATCAGATAACCACTTACTAATGTATTGTGCACCCTTACAAATATCAGCCACCTTATAACCACTTACCAGGTGATGTATGGCACACCTTTACCAATAATATCGACCACCTTATAACCACTTAACAAATGATGTATGGTGACCTCTTACAAATAATATCGACCACCTTATACGCACTTACCAAATGATGTATGGCG